TCAGAAGTCATTTTTTTAATATATGTTTTAGTTTTTCTATTCTTTTCAATAGTAACGAACTTGTTTGAACAAGTGTTGTTTTTAACAGTGTTTTGTTTCTTCATGACTAAAATATTAAAAATGTTTTTCACTATTAAACCCTTCTTTAACTTTAAAAATTATTATCTCACGAAATTTTCTCGTTTTTCCAAAATAAATTTTTTAATATTTGATCTTTTGTATGTATATTTAAATATTTTTGAACTAAAACCCTTAATTTTCGTCAAATTTTGGATTTATCCTTTACTTATTATTATATATTGGTAATCTTAAAATCATACACCTTTTATTTGTTTATAAATTTAATAAAATTGGTAATCACAATTTGAAGAAAGAATCCCCAACTAACTGGACCAAAATTTTGGGTTCCCTGAACAAGACTATGTAAATCATTCTTAATGTTAAGTAATTCTACTCGTATAAATATTAACAAATATAAATAAATCAAATCTTAATCCGGTTAAATGGTTCAAAGAAATTACTTGTGATTAAAGAAATTGATTGTGATAAAGGTAATAAAATTTGATTGAAAAACGTAATAATAGCCGATCTTGAAATATTCTTTGCACGATCAATTAATAAGAATTTTCTTCATCATTATCAATTACTCGTCCATATTAATAACTTCATCTTCTTCGTCGTCATTAATATTATTTCAGGCATCATCAACATTTTCATTCAATCCAAATAATAGATCATCTATCAATTGAACTTCTCATAAACCATCAACGAACATTTTTCTTGTTTTTTCCTTTGCTCACAATTAATTGACACAAATATTTATTTTCTCAACTATAGAAAAGCTAACATTGGAATTAGTCCGGATAACCACTATTTGGAGTTGACAAAAGTATGATGTAATAGTAAGTTCGATTTATCACATTTATCACTTTGTGACGATCTCAAATTTATGTTTGTGTGACTATATAATTTTTACCTCGGTATAATAAAAATAAGTTTTACAGATTTTTACTAGAAGCAAAGAGATTTTAAATAGTAACTTCACTTATTAAAAAAAAAAAAAACTTTTTTCCAATACAATCACACAACTTAATTACAGATAAGTAATTTCTTACTCTATTATGAATAAGGGCTATCGTTCATATTACAAATTTAACGTTCGTA